CAATTGGTGGCATTCGGTGGCATTAAAACGGTCATCGTTACAATTGGTGGCAGCAGTTTAACAACTCCTTCACACCATTATTCTAACCTTCTTCAATGTACATGTGTTTACGTATCCTTCCAATAATAATAGAGTAAAATAATAAATGTAATTATAATAAAAATAATAAAGTTAACCTATAAATGTAATAATAATAATAATAATAATAATAGAGTAAAATAATAAATAACTTTGACTCGAGAATAAACCGAAGCAAGCTTTTTCAGCCTAAAAAGGGCTGAAAAACTAGGCTTATACTCGAGTATATACAGTAATGTATAACCTGCCTCTCTTTGCAAGAAAGATGGGATATAAGAATAAAATAAGTTTGTAACTAAAATGGATGTAAATGTGCTAATATTTATAGCTGTGCGTCCATCAGTGTCTTTCCCATCTGGAAAAGGACTGGGCAGGACCTTCTAGTTTAAACATGATGACTATATCATTTAAAGAAATTATTTTTAAAAATGCATTTTCCTTTGATATAACAGCACAGATGTTGGTTCTGTGACAAGCACTTGAAAGAATTGATTAAAAGAGAGGAACATCTTTGTGTGTATGGCTGCTTCATCTTGCACCTTTATTCTAGTTCAGGGGAACAGAGCATAGACGATTACAGGAATACTCAGAATTTTTATTCTGCACCTGGGACAGGTGCAAAAGCTGTCATGACAATTTCAACACAAGGTTAATTCAAATCTGGCAGCTAGCACAATATTCAATGCCATCACATGCAAAGGCAATCACTTTCCTAACAATGAATCAGTTGTCAGTATATATTCTGATGTTTGTCTTGCCAAGTTTCCTTTGGAGCAAAACACATCTTTTCATCAAAGTTCATTTTGTTAGAGAAAATGCTGTTCTTACTAGTTGTATGAATATATACCTTAGAGCAATGGTTTTCAACCTGTGGGTCCCAAGATGTTTTGGCCTTCAACTCCCAGAAATCCTAACTTCTGGTAAACGGGCTGGGATTTCTGGGAGTTGTAGGCCAAAACACCTCGGGATCCACAGGTGGGAATCACTGCCTTAGAGGAATTTATATCTCAAACCATCCCTCATGTCAATAGTGGGTACCAAAAGTGCGAAGTGGGTAAATTAAAGTGCGAAGTATGGAACCCTGTGCACAGTCGGTCAATGCAACTTAAGCAACATGCAGTCACTGAATTTCTCCAGTGGTGTAGGGCGCAGACACCCCGTGATAATGCGGCATGTCTCATTAAGAGCCACATCCACTGTTTTAGCATGGTGAGATGTGTTCCACACTGGGCATGCATACTCAGCAGCAGAGTAGCATAGCACAAGGGCAGATGTCTTCACTGTGTCTGGTTGTGATCCCCAGGTTGTGCCAGTCAGCTTTCGTATGATATTGTTTCTAGCACCCACTTTTTGCTTGATGTTCAGGCAGTGCTTCTTGTAGGTAGCACAAGAAGCATTATTATTATTATTATTATTATTATTATTATTATTATTACCTTTTGGAAGCAAACGCTACATTCTATTCTGAGATGAAAGCACATGTCTGTGTTTTAGATGGATTGGGGACGCTTTCCCGGTAATAGGCAGTAAGAGCACCTAGAGCTTCGGAAGCTTCTGTTCAACCATCTCAAAGCTCCCTGATTGAGCGGTGATGGCACGATCATCAGCATAGATGAAACTCTCTGTCCCTTCTGGCAGTGGGTGGTCATTGTGTAGATGTTGAACATGGATGGGGCAAGCACGCTCCCCTGAGGCAGGCCGTTCTTCTGTTTCCGCCATCTGCTTCTCTGGCCCTGGAACTCAACAAAAAAGCTCCTGTTTTGTAGCAGGTTTCCTATGAGGCGGGTGAGGTGGTTGTCCTTTGTGATATTATACATTTTTCTCAGGAGGAGGCGGTGGTTCACAGTATCATAGGCGGACCAGGGAACCTAACTATAATTGACAGGTGGCTTGCCCTATGATTGCAGCCAAAAGAAGCCACCTATCTGCAGAGTCCCTGAAACTTAGGACTACAACAAACATTCAGTGCAAAGCAAACAAAATTGGAGCTCCTGGTACAGCTGTACCTGCACATGTATATTGGCTGCTTTTTTTATAAATTTGGCGGGGGGGGGGGGGGGTTGAAACCTGCCTCCTAGCTCACGCTGAAGCAAAGAGCACAGCAGGGGGCAGAGCAGCCTTCAATAGACTGCAGCTCCACCCCTGTCAACCACCTCCACCAAGTCTGGCCTCCTTAATGAGAGCATTCAACCCCTCCCCCCCAACTTGGTTGCTTCGCTACATCAGCTATTATTGCAAGTAATGACAGTGTGAATACATTTGAGATAGTGCTTGCAGTTCTGGAGGGACTCTTAATTTTTTGCATCTCAGAGACTTAGCATGGGGATTTGGTTAACCAGTTAAAATTCATGAGTAAACCAGGTTTTTTTTAAAATCTGAAACATTTCGGGGGGGTTTGAACCCCTAAAACCACCCCCTCGCTACAGGCCTGTGCTGTACCTGCACACCATCTGCACCCTAAAGTAATAAAAGGAGTAAACTGAGAAATTGTAAAGGGTTGAACTAGATGGCCTTTATGGTCTCTTCACACTCTGATGAGGATGAGGCCACGTCTACTGTTTTAGTGTGATGAGATGTGTTTTAGCCTGCCGCTTTTGGACTCTCGCTTGCTGAGGTGTTCCAGCGAGTGTCTGAGGTAAAAGAATGAAGGTTGTGGTGTGATGGGGAGACAGGCAGGGGAAGTCCCCCCCCCCCCCCAGGGCCCTTCCACACAGCCATACAACTCAGAATATCAAGGCAGATAATCCACAATTGGAATATATTTATACAGCTGTGTGGAAGGGGCCTCTGAGAAACTGCCTCCTTGTTTACATTGTGTTTTGTGGGGTGGTGATGGTGGAGGATTAAATTATGGCCTAGGCATGGGCGAACTTAGGCCTTCCTGGTGTTTTGGACTCCAACTCCCACAATTCCTAGCGGCCTCAGGCCCCTTCCTTTTCCCCCTCAGCCGCTTGCGGCTGAGGGGGAAAAGGAAGGGGCCTGAGGCCGCTAGGAATTGTGGGAGTTGGAGTCCAAAACACCAGGAAGGCCTAAGTTTGCCAATGCCTGCGTGTGGCCAATAGTGGGCCCTTGGGCCTCCCCTTTCTGCCTCCTCCTGCTTCCCCGCCCAGTTTCCTGGCGGGGCCATTCGAAGAGGGCGCCTGACGTCGGGGGATCATGTGAATGGCCTGCGCTCCCAGGGTTCCTTCGGAGGAGGAAGGGAAGGGAAGGGGAAGGCAGGCCCGCCTCGCCTCGCCTGCCTGCCTGCCTGCCTCGCCTGGCCCCACCCGCCTCCCTTCTTCGCAGCGCTCCCCTTCCTTCCTTCCTCGGGAGGGCTTTCTTTTGAAACATCATTATCCTTTTGGAAAAGAGAGAGAGAGAGAAATGGAAACGAGAGGAGGAGGAAGAAGGAAATAAAAAGGGAGGGAAAGAAGAAGAAGAAAGAAGAAGGAGAGGGGGGGGGGGAGGCAGGAAGGCATTCCAGCCTCCTCATTTCCATAATATATTTTTTCTGAAGGGAGAGGAGACAGACCAGCTTTGCCTTGCTTTCTTTCCTTTTCTGTCTCTCCCACTTTTCTCTTTCTGTCTCCCTTCTTCCCTTCCTTCCTTCCTTCCTTCCCTGGAAAAGCAAAAGAAGGAGAAGAAGGCCTTGGATTGTTCCAACCACCATTAAGGAGCCTTCGCCGCAGAAGATCAAGACAGAGAGGAAATATATATAAATATATATAATATCTCTCTATTTTATTTTTCACTGCCCAGCTTTATCATAAGAAGGACTGCTGGAGGACTCTTCTTTTCTAGCTTCACCTCCTTTTGTTTATTTTTTGGAGAGGTAAATATATTTAATATCTCTCTATTTTATTTTTCACTGCCCAGCTTATAGAAAGGACTGCTGGAGGACTCTTTTTCTCCCCTTTTGTTTATTTTTTGGAGAGGTAAATATATATATAAATATATATAATATCTCTCTATTTCATTTTCATAAGAAGGACTGCTAGAGGACTCTTTTTTCCTAGCTTTCACCCCCTTTTGTTTATTTTTTTGGAGAGGTAAATATATATATATAAATATATATAATATCTCTCTATTTTATTTTCATAAGAAGGACTGCTAGAGGACTCTTTTTTTCCTAGCTTTCACCCCATTTTGTTTATTTTTTGGAGAGGTAAATATATATAAATATATATAATATCTCTCTATTTTTCACTGCTCAGCTTTATCATAGAAAGGACTGCTGGAGGACTCTTTTTTTTCCTAGCTTCACCCCCTTTTGTTTATTTTTTTGGAAAAGGGGAAAAATAGGCCGTTTTGTTGCAAGAGGAAAGAAGAAGAAGGGAGGAAATAAAAGACATTCCTCGCCCAGGATTTGAGAAGGATTTTTATTATTTTTACCCACTCCTTCCTTTCTATTTGGAGCCTATTGCTGTGGATTTTGAAAATATAGAAAAAGAAGAAGGGAGGAAAAAAAGACATTTCTAGACCTTCCTTGCCCAGGATTTGGGAAGGATTTTTATTTTTTACTCAGTCCTTTCAATTTGGAGCCTATTGCTGTGGATTTTGAAAATATAGAAAAGAAGGGAGGGAAAAAAGACATTTCTAGACCTTCCTCACCCAGGATTTGGGAAGGATTTTATTTTTTACTCACTCCTTTCTATTTGGAGCCTATTGCTGTGGATTTTGAAAATATAGAAAAGAAGAAGGGAGAGAGAAAAACCAAGACATTTCTAGACCTTCCTCACCCAGGATTTGGGAAACTCTTTCTATTTGGAGCCTATTGCTGTGGATTTTGAAAATATAGAAAAGAAGAAGAAGGGAGGGAAAAAAAGACCTTCCTCGCCCAGGATTTGGGAAGGATTTTATTATTATTTTTTACCCACTCTTTCCTTTCTATTTGGAGCCTATTGCTGTGGATTTTGAAAATATAGAAGAGGGGGAAAAGGAAGAGGGGTGTTTTTTTCCCCCAATCCTCCTCCTTTCTTTCTATTTGGAGCCTGTCCATTCAGCCCTTCCTTTCTATTTGGAGCCTGCTCTGGAACCCCAAGGAGGATTTTTTTTTAAAATATAGAAAAAAAGAGAGGAAGAGAAAGACGCCTTTTTAAAATATATATATCAACGCCGGCGTGGAAGTTGGAAATACTCTATTCGCCTTAATATTATTTCTTTGCTGTTTTTGCTGCTGCAGAATTGGGGAGGAGGAGGGAGAGAGGCAAGAGGGGGAAAGAAAGGCCTTTTTTTCCCCTTCCTTTTTTTCTTTTTTGATCCCTTTTGTCGCCTTGGGTGGCTGCCAGACTCTTGCCTCTCCTCTGCCCCCCATTTTGAGTATCTATATTGAGATATATATATCGAAATTGAGGATTGATCCGCATTGCGAGGCATTGGAGGGGAGAAAGCAGGAGGAGGAGGCCCGGCTTGAGCAGTAGCCGCAAAGTCATTGCTTGCTCCCTCCTTTTTTCCCCCCTTCCTTCCTTCCTCCTTTCCTTTCCCTTCCCCCTTTCCATGTCTCTGGGCAGGGAGTGAGTAAAAGGCCGAAATAAAGAGGGGGGGAAGGAGAGAGAGAGGCTTCCCCCTCCCTCCCTCTTTCCTTCCTTCCTTCCTTCCTTGGCGGCGTCCACATACAGCCTGCTCTCTCTGTCTCTCTGTCTCTCTCTCTTCCTGCTTTCTTTCCCCCTTCTTCCCCTCCTTCCCTTTCCTCCCCCCTTCCCCTTAAACCTCCACCTCCCCTCCCTCCCCAAAATGGGCTGCTTGGGGAACAGCAAGACGGAGGATCAGCGCAACGAGGAGAAGGCGCAGCGGGAGGCCAACAAGAAGATCGAGAAGCAGCTGCAGAAGGACAAGCAAGTCTACCGGGCCACGCACAGGCTCCTCTTGCTGGGTAAGGGCTCGTGGAAGGCGCCCTACAAGCCCCAAATACAAGGCACCCCCCTTCTTCCCTTGTGTAACTGGGCCCAGCAGTGACTGTGCAGGCGGGCATACTAAAGGGAGGAAGGGAAGGGAAGGGGGTTCTACTGTTGGGAAAGTCAGGAAGTAGAAGCTTGAATTGACCCTCCCCACTCTAACCCCCCCCCCCCTATTTAGATGCAATGTTCAAGGCTGGTGGTCGGGTTTTTTTGCAACACCCAGAGATTGTTTTTCGAAGGCCCCAAACCACCGCCGTCCTCGCTTGGCCTGCTCAGGCCCACCCAAAGGGCACTCACTCGCAGGGAGAAGGGAAAGGGGACATTGCAAACCAGTTGGTTCTAACCAAGGAGGGCCCTGGGAAGAAGGGGGAGAGGAGGGAGTAGGCCTCGGGCCCTCCCGTGTTGGCGCCTCGTATTGCAGCCGCCACGAAAAAAGGGATCAAAGAGGGTGTTGGTTCTCCTGGGGTGGAAATCTTGGGCAGAGGAAACGTGTTAGAAGGAAGACGTACACGGCTTTGCCCCCCTTTTTGCCGCCCACCCCCCGCTTTGCTGTCCTTTATTATTATTTTTTAATGTCAAGAGCGACTTGAGAAACTGGAAGTCGCTTCTGGTGTGACAGAATTGGCCGTCTGCAAGGACGTTGCCCAGCTTCTGGTGTGAGAGAACTGGCTGTCTGCAAGGACGTTGCTCAGCTTCTGGTATGAGAGACTTGGCCGTCTGCAAGGACTTTGCTCAGCTTGTGTGAGAGAACTGGTTGTCTGCAAGGACGTTGCCCAGCTTCTGGTATGAGAGAACTGGCCGTCTGCAGGAAGGTTGCTCAGCTTCTTAGTGTGAGAGAACTGGTTGTCTGGAAGGACGTTGCCCAGCTTCTGGTATGAGAGAATTGGCCGTCTGCAGGGACGTTGCTCAGCTTCTGGTGTGAGAGAACTGGCCGTCTGCAAGGACGTTGCCCAGATTCTGTCTGCAAGGACGTTGCCCAGCATCTGGTATGAGAGAACTGGCCGTCTGCAAGGACGTTGCTCAGCTTCTGGTGTGAGAGAATTGGCCCTCTGCAAGGACGTTGCCCAGCTTTTGGTATGAGAGAACTGGCCGTCTGCAAAGACGTTGCCCAGCTTCTGGTATATGAGAACTGGCCGTCTGCAAGGATGTTGCCCAGCTTCTGGTATGAGAGAACTGGCCGTCTGCAAGGATGTTGCTCAGCTTCTGGTGTGAGAGAATTGGCCCTCTGCAAGGACGTTGCCCAGCTTCTGGTATGAGAGAACTGGCCGTCTGCAAGGACGTTGCTCAGCTTCTGGTGTGAGAGAACTGGCCCTCTGCAAGGACGTTGCCCAGCTTCTGGTATGAGAGAACTGGCCGTCTGCAAGGACGTTGCCCGGCGTCTGGTATGAGAGAATTGGCCATCTGCAAAGACGTTGCCCAGCTTCTTGTGTGAGAGAACTGGCCATCTGCAAGGACATTGCCCAGCTTCGGATATGAGAGAACTGGCCGTCTGCAAGGACGTTGCCCAGCTTCTGGTGTGAGAGAATTGGCCGTCTGCAAGGACATTGCCCAGCTTCTGGTGTGAGAGAACTGGCTGTCTGCAAGGACGTTGCCCAGCTTCTGGTATGAGAGAACTGGCTGTCTGCAAGGACATTGCCCAGGGGGGTGCCCGGATGTTTTTCCTTCCTGTGGGAGGCTTCTCATGTCCCCGCATGAGAAGCTGGAGCTGACAGATGGGAGCTCACCCCAATCCCTCGATTCAAACCTCCTACTTTTCAGTCAGCAGTGCTGCCTAACCCATTGCAGAGCAGGCTAAAGCAGCCATGGCAGCAAAAAATAGTGCCAAATATCCATTCTACAGTGTAGATCAGGCCTGGGCCAACTTTAGCACTCCAAGGGTTTTGGACTCCAACTCCCACTATTCCTAACAGCCTCAGGCCCTTTCCTTTTTCCCCTCAGCCGCTTAAGCAGCTGAGGGGGAAAAGGAAGGGGCCTGAGGCTACTAGGAATGGTGGGAGTTGGGAGTCCAAAACACCAGGAGGGCTAAAGTTTGCCCATGCCTGCTCTTATGCAAAATGCTTGGTGCCAGAGGTGATCCAGATTTCGGATTTATTTAATTTTTAGATTTCGAGTACCCATATTTGCATATATGTACAAAATCTTGGGGATGAGGCCCAAGTCTAAACATGACATTCAAACATGCTTCATATATCCTTTATCTGAAATGCCTGGGGCCAAAAGTACTTTGGATTTTTATCAGATTTAGGATACCTGCATTTGCATATATGTACTATGTATCTGAGGATATCTGCTTGGAGATGAGGCCCATGTCTAAATATTTTAAAATAATATATGTTTCATATAATATATGTTTCATATATATACAGGTTGGGTATCTGTTATCCGAAATGCTTGCGACTAGAGGTGTAGATTTCAGATCCCCCCCCCCCATTTAGAATACTTCTATTTACATACACGTACAAAATGAGATATCTTGGAGATGAGACCCAAGTCTAAACATGACATTCAAGTATTTTTCATATATGCCCGAGACCAGAAGTATTTTGGATTTTCTCAGATTTAGGATACCTGTATTTGCATATATTGTACACGAGAATATATCTGTCTTGGAGACGAGGCCTACGTCTAAATTTGAAACATCATATATGTTTTATACATATACAGTTTGGGTATCTGTTATCCAAAATGATTGTGACCAGAATTGTTGAAGATTTTGTGTGTCCCCCCCCCCCCCCAGCCTTTTAGAATACCTGTATTTGCATATACATGCATAATGAGATTCATGCTTGAGCACAAAATGTGTGCATGTTTCATGTATACAGACAGAGTATCTCTTAACCAAAATGCTTTGGATCAGAAGTGTTGTGGGTTTGATTTTTTTTTCAGATTTAGAATCCCCATATTTGCATGTATGTAAATAATGAGGTATCTTGGAGGTGACACTCAAGTCTAAACATAAAATTCATGTGCATTTCGGATGTAATGTATATACATAGCCTGAAGATAATTGTATACATTATCTTCAGGCTATGCGAATAAATTACACCCTCAGAGTTTGGATTATAACAGATTTATAACCCTACCTGTGTGTGAAAGAGACTGAGAAAAGACAAAGATCAGCAGGTGTGGATAACTTACAGCTTCTTGCCCTTGTTGGTTATTTGGACTTCATCACCCCAGACATGGTTTCTGTTTAAAATCTTTACTATATAATTAACTACTGTGTGTAGGGGGCTGTTTGGAGCACTTGTCTTTAAAAACCACTGTTCTGGCACTATTTCCGATTGAGGGGGCTATCAGTGATGTTTTAAGTGGCAGTCTATTTCAATATAAGGCACAGTTTCTTGGGATCTATAATGATGGGGGGAAAATGGGAGGAAATAGTATGGTTGCAAAAAGGGAATGGTCCTACTATCAGGATTTAAGGGGAAAGAGTAAAAGTGGGACAAGAAGGACACACTTTTGAAGGGTTTAGCCTCTCATTCTTCCATTTGTTGCTTTTACTATCATTTCTAATACTCCTAATAGGGTGAGTGACAGGTAACCAAACATTTCTTGGCACAGGGTGGCCTTTATGCTGCCATATCAATTTTAATATTAAATATTTGTCTTTTGGTGTATTTTCAGCAGTTTCTCCGAAAAGACTACTTGCTGAGCTGGCACAGAGTTAATATTATTTTATTTTCTACCACGCAGATTAGTTGTCCTGATGCTAATATGTGCCAGTACTTGATTATTGTTGATTAGTGGCCTCAAGTGTTCAGGGGAGTAGGATTGGCTAGGTGTGTTACAATCAATATTACTTTTGGTGATGGTTGGAATGACAAAAATGAGTGTTCCAGGCTTTCGATGTGCTATGGAATATTCCTTGTTCGGGGATTTAAGTAGTTAATGTGGAGAAACAAAAAGGTGTAAAATTGAAATAGAAAAGTAGTAGTAACATCTCCTGTGTTTAAAAAGTACAGTATGTCAGAACCCCTTTTCAACATACTTTCAAAGAAAATACTTAAATGTTTTCACTGTGCATATGCAGTGTGTCACAAATGACCTGTTCTTAATGAATAAATACTTATTTAAGTCTGCTTGAATAGTTTGGGCTCACTTCAGTGTAGCTTTTTTAAGACTTGGGTTGAATATCAATTTTTTCACATTGACTATCCAATCAGAAATATTAGTTATTTATTTACTTCATTTTTACTCTGCCTTTCTCACCCGAGGGAACTCAAGGCGGCTTACAGCTCTGGCAAAAATTCAATGCCTGTATAAACCAACAATAAACAGTAAAAAAAACATATCCCACAGTTAAAACGATATGTAGAAATCTTAATGCATTTGTAAAACATTGGTCATTAGAAGGCTGGAGAAGATTTGCAGGCTCTTACAACATGGCTTCCTTATGTGTTCAAGATATGATTAGCTCAGATGTGGTTATTTTAAATGTTGCACTTATATGCACAGTTTAATAAAACACAGACACAATGTGATAGTAAATCTGTAGTGCTGCAGTATTGTTAATATGAAATTCAGAAATAAAAAGCACAAATGGACAACAATATTGCAGAGTAGTTGGGAACACATTAAGGATATTTAATAAAATTAGCATCTTTCATCTGATCAGTTTGTTCATAAGATTGCACACATTTTAGGGCCCTCAGTCTGGTGTCTAAGTCTCTGAAGCAGTGTATTTAACATACTAGCCAGAAATGTTCTCTGCTTTGTGATTAAAGAAAAAAAATGGAACTCCTGAAAAAGTAATGATTAGATATTTGAATAAGATATTTAAATTCGTCTTTACCAAAGTACTGCTTTCTATGTAGTTTTAACTCTCTTGTAGAAGGATATCACAATACATCTTCAGAAGATTGTGGGAAACACCTTTGCTTTTGATTAGCTTTCCTACGGTTTGGTAGGCTAGGCCATCCATTTTTGGATATATTAGGAAGCTGTAACAGGGAAGCACTTCATGCATTTATTTGCCATCATGGAGAAATACTACTGAACTTGTTTTTTGCTAGTATTTTTAAAGAATGAGGTGAGACTGGGGAGAATAGATCTCATCTTGGTAATAAAATGTTCAGACATTTTTGCAGAAGGCTGATGATATTAATAGTTTGTCGAGGTTAAAAGGGGTTTGGATTGCTGGGCCGATTGGGAGAAGTAATGGGAAAGGCCAAATGAGAATTTCTCCAGGAAAATATACTTTGATATATAGCTGCTGAAATTTAGGCTTGCGTGAGAGGCTCAAAATGGAAACTTGTACTGTAAGTAAGTGCTGGGAAAAGCCTGGCATCAGAAAAATACAAACAGTGTCTTTCGTGAGCCCTGTTATGCCCCCCCCCCCCCCAAGCTTTGGAAGCTGTGTAGAAAAATGAGCAGCCAAAAGATGCTAAAGCATCTAATGACTATCGCCAAGATAGGGCTTGCAGAAAAAGAAAATAAAAGAAACGGGAAGGGAATGAGCTTTCGTATAGAGATTAAAAACCAGATGCTGTAGTCTTTGAATATTTTGATCTGAGTAAGGATTGCAGACTGAGTGCAACATGCTGACTTGTTAACGAGAAAACCTTGTATGTTGAGTGGGAGAAGGAGAAAGGGATTACTTGTAGGAAGCAGAATGAAGGGTGTTTTCTCATTCGGTGAACAAGACAGTATTCTCAAAATGTAGACTCCATATGCAGCTTGGTGGTTATGAGTGGGGCATATAGCATGTGCAGGTGATGAGAAACTGGGAGCAGGAGAACAGGAGAAGGCTCTTAGGTAATCCTGGAGTGGAATGGTGGCAGAGTTTTGTGTTTTCAAACAGTACTGTCTGTGTTCATTGTTTAAATGTGTGTAACTGGCTCTTGTTAGAAACCTTCACATCTTTGAAGATAGTAAGTGATTTGCTTAGTAAGAACTGTAGTCAGTCCTTCTTTTTCTTCATTTGATTTGAACTTGTGTTTTCAGATCATTTTGCTGTTTATTTAAGATACTGAAGCTGTCAATTTCTTAGTTTCCTTGTTCTGCTTATTTTGATGAGGATACTGGGGGTGGGGAAAAGGATAGTGAAATATTTCAGACTTTGGCTCTGACACACGACTTCAGCTGGGCATTTATTTTTAGCTTCAATTGCAGTTTCCAGTGGCAATTACTTCTTTTTTTTTCCTTTCAGTTTTCAGTCTTGCATTGAATAACTCAGGTTTGTGGATTTTACCACTTGAATAAAAAAAAATACATGTGCTCCTGGAACTATTTCTTTCTTAAACTGATCTATTTTCATTTTCTAGGTGCTGGTGAATCTGGTAAAAGCACAATTGTCAAACAAATGAGAATCTTGCATGTGAATGGATTTAATGCAGAGTAAGTGTATTTATATTCATACTGTGTTATTTGAAGACCTGTTTATTTTTATTTTTCTCAATTTTACGATATCTACAGAAATTCGATGTGCCAGTTTAGTATGCATGCATTGATTTTTCAGTTCGATGTATGGAAAATAGAGTCCACAGGCATGTAAGGAAGTCTGTTATTAGCTCATTTCATCAAAATCTTTCTTGTCAGACTTTGCAGAGCCAAATATTTTTGCTGCAGTTTTCCCACAATATAGTTAACATACCAACTTCTACTGCAGCTGATTAATTTATACTGTTCTCAACACTTTCTGCACATAGCATTAAAACACAAAGTAAACTGCACACATTTGATAAAGCAGCATTAAGCAAATCATTGTATGCTAGTTTGATGTTTTGGACTACAGAGGGGCTTTTATGGTTGCCATTTGATATATTTAGTTGGAATAAAATTACTTTAAAGGGTTCTTTGGTCTCCTTGTTTTGATGAGCCAAGTACTGTGAAGACGGAAGGCATAGTCGTTATTTATTGTATAATGACATAAATAGTTTTATGTAACAACACCACCACTGTCTTGAAGTACCCTAAAGTCTTCTCTTTCTGAATATGACTTGAAACAAATCATATGACCAAGGAATTTCCTCTGCCCGGTTTTTAAGCCAATTAACTTGTTTTTTAACTCTATACTCTAGGTTAACATTCTGTAGCTTGTGGTGAATTATGTATGCTTCTAATATTAAGTAGTGCCGTTAATAATCGGAATTGCAAGTCAGTCTAACTTTTTATAGAATTTTACTTTCATCATTTGAATTCCACAGTAATTCTTCTTAGTTCTTATTTGGAAACATCTGGCCAGGATCCAAAGATCTGCTTTGCTAGTTTACTATGCCCAAGGTTTTGTTTTTTTTCTTTTGGTTTGGTCTCACGTGTCTGGGACAGAAATGGTTAGCTAGCAAGTCTTGAAACTGGAGGCAGGAGGGGTGAATTGCAAAAGCAGATTGTGATATATTGTGGGGATAGGTTTTTTAAAGGATGTGTAAAAAAATCTCATAAGCCCATTGGCTAACATAATGAGGGAATTGGAACTGGGCTCCATTAATCACATGATGGCTAGGAAATAACAAGATCTTCACTTGATCGAATAAAAGATTCAGCATTCTTTATCCCACAGTGACCAGCCCAGATTCTTGCTGGGAGCATAGTCTTTCCTAGAAAGACAAAAGCCTTAACTGCTGTGCCCGTTGACAACTGACATTCAGTTAAATACTAATAAATGTGGACAATCTGTGTAGATATATTTAATTGTCACTGAGAGGCTTATGTGTAAATTCACCTAATCCCTCTTTAAAGCAATCTAAGCTAATAGACATCAGTTCATCTCATGTCTGCAATTTCATTTTAAAAAGTGTGAGCAGATGTTGTTCTATGCCATTTTAATGTATTAATTTCTTTGGGTCAACCTGTTTGAAATATTTAATTTTAAAATAAAATTATATAAAAATTATCTTTCTAATTTTTCTGTTCTTTTTAAAATCAAAAATATTTTAGTTCTGCGGGGAAGCGCTTAATGATCTTTATTGCAAAGCTCTGTTGCCTTTCCTAACTTTACTACATCGTTTTTGAAATTGAGTCACCAGTAGTAGTTGTATATTTTATAATGGTTTTATACCTGCCATAATATGATTTTAAGTTGCCTTTTGACTTATGGTGATCCCATGCATTTCATAGAATTTTGTCAGGCAAGAAGTAAAAAGGGGTGGTTTTCAAGCATAGTACCCTGTCACAATGCTGGGCATTATTTCATACAGCTCCTTGTTTGTTTTAGAAGAAAACTGTAATTCCTGATGTGGCAGGGCTATTTTAGATTGTGTGTCTTGATTTGTTCCTTTATGGGAAAAGGGGATATAATACTTGTCTTCAAGAATCTTTATCTTGGTTGTTGTGTTTACTGAACTTCTGAACAAATTTATGGTTTCTCTTTCAAATGAAATTTTATTTTGAGAATGTAGTAATATTGCCTTAAGCCTTAATATACACAGTGTTTAGGGCAAATCAAATTCATTCCATAGCAGGAAAGTTTGCTTTTGTAGGATTCAAGTTCTTTTTTAAATTTTATTTTTTAGAAATATCCTGAATATTAACATTCAACAAATAGCAGCCCTTAGATTAAAATGCTATCAATGTGGTATGGGTAAAGAAGCATTGAATTTCTGAATACCATAGTTTATGCATAATGAATGCTAGTTTTCATTGCATAGCTTACTTAAACCACTGCTCTTCAAGTGTGAATTTGTACTGTTTCATGAGCTGTCAACTGTCACTTTATGGCAAGAATACCATAATCATAAGACAGCATTGTGGTACTAGTCCCTAGTATATTGGGATTTTTTGTTTTTTTTTGCCAGGGTGGCATATGAGACAACATGTTAATCACTGTTAATCATGTTAAACTAGTAATCCAGCATGAATTACCATACAAACCTCTTATCTACAGCTTCAGTGTCCACAGGTTCAGTGTTCACTTACCCAATCTCCAAAATCACCAGTAAGTTTATGGGCCTCTCTAGGTCCTCCAGTCCAATTCTGTGATATACTTCCTGCCCAAGTATAGTCAAAATTTAAGATCTTAGGAAGTATATACTTGGGCAGGAAGTATATCACAGAATTGGACTGGAGGACCTAGAGAGGCCCATAAACTTACTGGTGATTTTGGAGATTGGGTAAGTGAACACTGAACCTATGGACACTGAAGCTGTAGATATCCATGGTTTCAGGTATGCACAGGGACTTGGTTACTAATTTACTGATTGGGTAGTATGCTAGATTTTGTGATGCATGCTACATTTCTGTTGTTTCTGTGTTGATTTTGGATTATTTTGTACTTGAACAAATGTATCTCATCATTTTTTAAAGTTACTTTTGAAAAAAATATCATTTTCACAAATTTTGCAGATGCTTGGAATTATAGTCCAAAACAATCTGTCTAGCTTTTACTATGCAATTTTGCTAGACATTTCTTTAAGAAGAAACCATGTTTACTAGGAGTACATGCTGTAGCAACTAGGCAGGAGTATAAACTTAGAGGTGAAAGATGCACCATTTAAAAACTCTTCACAGCCTCAAAGTTGCAATACACGATAGCGGTGACTTATTTTATATGGTTATTTTTACTAAATAGCAGATGTGTTTGTGAAACACATTAGGTATTTGTGTGGAAACAATTGAAGAAGTAATATAATTGTAATCAACATAAATGTGTTAGATCTTTCATATAAAGGACATAATTGTGTATTAGATTTGAATATATTAAATAGTACATGTTTGGAATATTTTTTAAATATTAAAATAAACTTCTTAATTTCAGTATATGAAGTGAAACTTTACAGTTCACATTATTTGTAATTTTCAGTTGTTAGCAATGTCATAATTGGTGACACCCTTTCTTAGTGTAAGGCCCTGGAAAGTGTACACATTATGCACTCTTTTTAAAAGAAATAATCCCAGTTATGTGGTGTCAGGAGTGGAAAATGTTTGGTGACGAGAGTGGAAAACTGTTGTGGTTGTTAATGTATTTTTCTCTTAAAGAGACTCAAAGTGGTTAACAGTGGTTAAATTAAAGTTCCTGTTCTTGTCTCCAATTTGTGTTAAGAGTGTTATAGTGTATCATAATTTGAATGTTGGTAACAGCTTTGCATAAATTAGAATGGCATTCCAACGGCAAAGGAGGGGCATTTTGTCATTGTTCATATTTTCTTGTGCAGTAGTAAAGTAAAGTGTAGTGAAGGAAATGGGCTGCTCTGAGTCCCTATATCAGGAGAAAGGCAGGCTACAAACGAAGCAAATGAAAAAAGTAAAATTTGCTAGCCCCACTTATGGAACATCCTCCACTGACAATTCCACATGGTTCCTTCATTGCAGCCCTTAAGCAGAGCATGCAGGCTAATTCTTGATTTTCTTGCTAGATATACATCTGTTTTTATTTGAAACCGCTTTTATTTTCAGTTCTACATTTTATTATCTTGTCTTCAACATTTCATTGATCAGTTGAGATGGAAATAAATGAATAGTAAAACTCATTTAGGGGCATACTAAATGCCCCTCAGATGTGCAGAAAAGTTTCACAATCGGGTATACCCTGCATTTTAACGGCTCGAAAATAGTGTTAGTATAGCACACATATTTTGGGTGCATCCAGTGATTTCGCCCCACTCTGCAGTTTATTGACCTTCTGAATTTTTTCTCCATGCCATCCCTAGCATCCCTGCTCACAATTACTCCATAGGGTCTCACAGTTACATGATACAATGGGGTGGGTGTGCTGCAGAGAGAAATGACAAGATTGACTTGCTCGCCCTGTTTCAGGGTTTACTGTTTTTGCTTATTTAAATAGCTTTCTGTCAGAAGGGAAACACCATTAGATATGAGTCCAGTTATACCTAGTCTTTAGGCCTGAGCAGGCTGCTGGAAAACATAGCTAATTATAGCTGATCAAAGAAGACTGACTTCTTTTTTTTTATTATTTATTTAAATTTTTATGAATTTTCTCTTAGTACAGTGAAAGAGTGGGAACAATAAATGGATAGAAAAGGGTGGGGGGAAAAAAAGGAAAAGGGAAGGGTAGTGGTGTTGGGTGTTGGGGGAGGAAAGGGGTAAGCAAGGGAAGGAGGGTCTGGGGGTGGGGAGGGGAACGGAAGGGGAAGTGCCGGTTGTCTGACTCCCGTTCAGTCTGCAGGGAAGTATCTTCATTGTCCATGGGTTTTATTCTTCTCTGTGTTCTTTTATTTATTTGCAATGTGTCATTTTGTATATCTTATATATCTAATTTTATTTGTTTCTTAAAATAATCTTCCAAATCTTTCCAGTTTATTTGCTTGCTTCGGTCCTCTTTTTCTAAGATTTGTGAAAATTTGTCTAGATTCTTGATTTCCATCATTTTTTCAAACCACTCCTCTTTGCTCGGTGCTTCCTTATCTTTCCATTTTCTTGCAATTAGAATTCTCGCTGCTGCG